CTTCTCGTATGGCACTTTTTCGCATCTGTGAGGTGTCACTATTCTCACGTACCCTGTGAAATGATTTCATCGGCATTGTTATGTATTCCTTTTTTTTAATCTTCAACACGTTACAAAATTATTCGACCGTCGAAGATGTTGGAAAGAAATTACTTCCTAGTATGTAATTGTATCGAGCATCAAAGCGAGTAACAATTATCCCTAAGAGTGCAGTACCTTTCCATTTTACGTGCAATATTATCGTTTATAAGGAACCTACGCGTACGAATTTATTTATTTGTGCAAGTCATGGAAATAAGCGCGTTACTAATTAGCCATTGAGGTTGCGTTACCCTTTTCTTTTTGAATCGTTGAAACGTAGCTCTCCCTCTCTCTGTCTTTTCTTCTTCTGTGTTTTTGCAAAGCCAAGTACATATATATGTGATTGCCGTTATAATGCAAGCAATATTTTTGTACATATTCATTTGTCGATCTTCCCGTGGCAAACAAGAATTGTTAAATATTTACACAGAACTGTATTGATGTATTTATTGAACTGGCGCGGTACATCGCATAGCAGTTTATATATTTCAGTAGAATTAGTATACATTCGAAGCGATATATTGTATCATTCGTTGACTGCTCAACTCTCACTGACCGTTCAATATTCATCAGATTGTAATAAAAGAGAAAAGAGAAAAAAAAAAAAAAATCTTCCTAAGTTGATAACTTGATCGAATGATAAACGAATTTGGAAAGTGGCATAACAAATCAAGTCCGTTTAAATATCCAATTTCAGCATCTTTTAAATCATACAGAGAGATTATGAACGATAAACATTGTATTATATTGCTTCGCAACACATTTGATTTGCCAAAGTCATCCTGTCTTTCTTCAGAATCATTCTTCTTTCTCTGTATGTACAATACATATATATAATTTGAATCTGCTGTACTTTTCAAGGATCTAGCAAGAATCTAACGTTACGTTTCACACTAACTTGGTGCATGTGTATTTGTTTTACCTTGAAAATTAGAATTTCCTAAAGATTCTACAGCACAACACCACATCGTACTCGAGATCCGTATCAGTTCGCTGTCGAGTCGAGCAAAGTGAACAAAATGCTTATTTATATACTTACTTATTCATATAAAATGCATAGTAATATGAAGCAAATCCAGAGTTAAATAACAGAACACATTTGATTGAACAAACGCTTTATAATATAAGTAGATGATTAACGGAAATGTACTTAAAACGTGTAAAATATCAAATTGAAGAAAAGGAGAAAAGAAAAAATGGTAAGTATATGTGTGTAGCAGAAATGAATTCTAGTGTCGCTCATTGTTCTAGAGTGCATTTGCACCAACAGAGAATTGAAAACTGATGATCACTTCTTACGAAACAAGCATAAAAGACTCAAACAATTCCTTCTCATTCTAGAAATTTAGAAATCAAAGTGACGAAATCGCTCTGGCAGATGTTAAACGTTAATACAATATATATATATATTTAGAAATTATTATTTAGAAAGCTGGATGTTCACGGAGTAACAAGTCTCGATATATATATATATATATTTAAAATACGTTAATAATTTCTAACTTTAAAGGCTACGTCATATTATTAGGGCTCTTATAGTGAAACGAGTAAATTTTTAAAATGTCATCGTGGCAACGAAGGTACATCTTTCTACGTTCTAGCTCTTAGTTCTTCGGTAGTTACTTCGTTAGTGTTTGTGTTTAATGAGACCACCGGCGTTAGTTTCTCACAACGATCAGCTATAGTTATTCAAGTATTCAAAGCCTTTTTGTAGTAAATCACCCGTAGGGAGGGATAATTCGAGAAGGAATTTCGAGAACGAACACTCCTGCTTTAATCAAGACCAACGTCGTCCTGTGGTTTTGGTTTCGGGGTGGTCGTCTGTGCCCCGGCACCGGCACCAGCACCAGCACTGGCACCAGCACCAGCACCGGCTCCTGGGAACCCGGGCATACCACCCATCATACCGGGAAATCTATCCGGCATGTTACCAGCTCCGCCAAACTTCGAAGCCATCTTATTAATAAACGCCATGATCTTCGGATTGCTTTGGTACTTGAAGATATTCGTCGGGTTTGTGGAAATTTCTTTGAAGGCTTCGGCTACCTCAGGATCCTGCGAGAGGGAGGTCAATCAATCAGATTCAAATATTCAAGAGAATTAACAAGCTAGTGTAGTGGGTGGTATTATTATTTCTAACAGATGTAAAGAACGTACGTTACCTGGAAAGCATTGAGGACGTCTGGATCGTTCAAGAACTTGTAAAAATCACCCATTCCAGGGGTTTCACCGGAATCAGTTTGGGAAGTGCGGGTGTTCTCCTCGTAAGCTTTCGCGCTCTCCCGGGCTTTTCTCAATCGTTCTTGTCTCTCGCATTCCAGCTTCTCTTGTATCTTCCGCTCCTTCTTTCTCTTATGCTCCTCGATCTTTCGTGCCTGCGACAGAGAAGAGGAATACACTTGGTTTAATTGGCGGCAAAGACCATCGAGAAAAACATGTACAGCGAGGATTCTCAGCGTGAAGAATTGCTAATCACGACGTCCCGTGAAAGGTGTAATTCGCGGTATAAGGGAACCTGATCCAAATACTAAATCATAATGACGTGAAACACGTCTGTCCAAGAGGCATTGTGACCTCATGCGATTACGAGCTTATTATAGACCGTGTACCAGCCAATTTGGCCAGTAAACTTCGTTTCTCGAATCGATACTTTCCCTCTTGTTACCAATCTCTCTCTCTCTC